CTTCAAGAGCTGTCCTGCGTCTGACCTCAAAGTGCACAAGCTTCAAACTTCAGCGTTGGCTGCGATTTTGAAGCTGAAATCGCGTTCGGTGTGAACGCAGCATAAGGAATAACTCAAGAAACCTAAACCTAACTATAGGATTTATCAAAAAAGAAAGTCTTCAGTCTAATCTTAAAAGTAGACAGAGTGTCGGCTTCACGGACAGAAGCTGGAAGTTGGTTCCATGAGAGAGGAGCTTGATAACTGAAAGCTCTGCCTCCCATTCTACTTTTAGAAACTCCAGGAACCACAAATAAACCTGCAGTCTGAGAGCGAAGTGCTCTGTTAGGAAAATATGGAACAATAAGATGTTTATTACAGTATATGATGGAGCTTGGTTGTTTAGAGCTTTGTATGTTAGGAGTAATATTTTAAATTCTATTCTGAATTTGACAGGGAGCCAGTGGAGAGAAGCTAAAACTGGAGAAATATGATCTCTCCTTCCAACTCTCATTAAAACTTTAGCAGCAGCATTTTGGATTAACTGAAGACTTCTTAAAAAGTTTTTTGGATGCCCAGATAATAAAGAATTACAGTAATCCAGTCTAGACATGATAAATGCGTGAATCAGTTTTTCTGCATCATTTTTGGACAAAATGTTTCTAATTTTAGTGATATTACGCAGGTGGAAGAAGTGGTCCTGGTAACATTTTTAATGTGGGGGTTAAAATGCATGTCCTGATCAAAAATAACACAAGGTTCTTTACATTAGAACTGGAGGCCATTAAGGTGAAAGGCTACAAAGTTGATCCCTAAGATGTTTAGGTCCAAAAACTATAACCTCTGTCTTATCTGAGTTTAGAAGCAGAAAATTAAGAGTCATCCATGTTTTTATGTCTGTAAGACATGCTTGTAGTTTAAGTAACTAATTAGATTCAGGTTTCATGGATAAATATAACTGAGTATCATCAGCGTAACAATGGAAATTTATCCCATGCTGTTTAGTAACTTTACCTAAAGGAAGCATATACAAAGTAAAGAGGATTGGTCCAAGCACTGAACCCTGAGGAACTCCCTGACTAACTCTGGTGTAAGAAGAAGATTCATTATTAACATTAACAAACCGAAATCTATCAGTTAAATAAGACTCAAACCATTTCAGAGCCGTTTCTGTAATCCCAATATCAAGTTCAAGTGTCCGTAATGAAACATTGTGATCATCTGTATCAAATGCAGCACTGAGATCTAACAGGACAAGAATGGACACAAGTCCACTGTCTGAGGCCTTGAGAATATCATTAGTAACTTTCACCAGTCCTGTTTCTGTGCTATGATGAGCTCTAAACCCTGACTGAAACTCCTCATATATCCAGATGTTCACAGTTGATTTGCAACTATTTTCTCAAGAATTTTTGAGATGAATGGGAGATTAGAAATAGGTCTATAGTTGGCCAGAACTCCTGAATCAAGATCAGGTTTCTTAAGTAAAGGTTTAATTACAGCAACCTTAAAGCTCTGTGGCACACAACCAATCATTAGAGACATATTAGGTATATCTAAAATATGGATGTTAATTAGGGGAAATGCTTCTTTGAACAGTCTGGTTGGGATGGGATCTAGCAGACATGTTGATGGTTTGGATGAAACTATAGTTTTAGCCAGTAATTTGTTTAGCTTTAGCAACTTAGCTCATCTTTGGCTTTTTGTAATATGCGAAACAGCTTATAAAAATTAAACAATGCTATTGGTTAAATTAAATTAAATCCAATCAAAAATCAGCTTGTTTCTAGTGTGATAAAATATCTGAAATATTATTTGCAGCCCACATGCAACTCAAAACACTTTTAGGAAACAACTATCTGTCTGATAACTTTTTTTTATCTGGTGACAAAACGTCCTCCAAAGTAGATTTTTGTTGACTCCTGTTTGTTTTTGTAACATCCAGGACTGATAGAAATATCCTGTTTAGACCCCAACCAAACATGCTGAGCCTAATTGTACCTAATTTCAAACTCTATCTTTGCAGTTGCTCAGCTTTTTCTGAACCTTCCTTTATCTTCTTACACGTCTGCTGTGTTTCGCACTTACTGTGCGACAGCTGTGCTTTTTTTCTTTTATAATTCAGGCACAAATGTTTCATTGTTTTGTTCTTTTTGTGAAACACACATACACACGGTGTAACAAATCTGTTCATCCCTCTGTGTCAGCCATGTGGTTGGTTGCCTCATTCTCCCACCCCGGTTTCACCCTGTTGCTGAGTCAATAGCGACTCAGTGTTCTGGCTCTGCTAATGATGTCCCTTTGTTTGTTTGGCACTCTGCTTTGTGTTTCCAAATTCCTATCAGAGGACCGAGTTGCATAATTACGCAGCACAGCAATGCTGCTGGTTGTCCTATTTGAGGGTTTGCTGAAAGTACTTTTTAGAAGGTTCTGACAAATCCAAAAAGTGTAAATCAAAATAAAAATATAGCTTTTAATGTTTGGTTATTGACCACAGTATCTGTTCTAATGTTACTGGATTTTGACAGGACAGTAAATTACAATGCATGTCCCTTTAATTGTTTTGTCAAAGCTGCTGTTTGTTTTTTTTTTTACATTTTTGATGATGCTCTGACAGCTGTTTGTGTTTACTTGCATCCACTTGGAGATTAAGGTCCTAAGAAAACTGTTATCTGGATGGTTTACTGTTTCCAGTCCCGTTTCAGAGAGGAATAGCTTCATCTTGTGGTAGTTTTGTGTTACTGTGGATGGAGTGCACAACAAAAAATATTTAAGGAGCCATATTTTGTCAAAATCGAAGTAATATATGTTTTCCACCACAGAATTTCATGCATCTCGGGGTTGTTAAATAAATAACATTTCATATTCCTGCAAATAAATACTAACTAAACCTTTCACTAGGTGACAATTGTCAGTCTTTGTTGATTTGAATTTCATGTGTGTGTTAATAAAGTATATCTATTTATCTACGATTGAAAAGTTTTACGATAAAGCATTTAAACTCACTGCTGAAAGCCTTTTAAACAAAATAATCAACCAAATCTACAGTATTTGTTGAGCTGTGTAAAAGTTATAAAGATCCTTTATGTTGCAAACCGACACCTTTCTAAAATAATCACCTGTCTTTTCTTTTCTTGTTTTTTTTTTTTTTTCAAAATTTGTCAGAATCTCAAAAAATGTCATATGATGCACTTTTGGATAAGGTTTTTTGTGTTTCCTGAAAAACTGGAAAAAAGTGCCAAACTGGTTTTCACAGAGGGCCACGTGAGCATTATGGTGTAATAACTTCAACCTTTCGTGTTTAACATCGACTAAACACAAAACGTCACGTTGCTCATCTCATTGTTTCAGCTGAGCAACTCTAACAAACAATAACTGAGCTCTATGTGGTATTTCCTGCATAGAAACATCGTTTTAACAGTCCTCTTATAAACACTGAAAAGGACTACATATACAACTGACTGAATGTGAAATAAATAATACAGAAACACTATTAAAAGTAAAAGTAGGAGAGATTTACCCTGTGTTGAGTTGTGCGGAGTAGCTGCCATCTTGAATTCTGAATTTCCACTGGAGGGTGTGTTCCGGTTTAAATTTGCAGCTTCCAAGTGGGACATTCCCACTTCCCAGTACAAGTGGCCCAAAAAAAAAAAATAGCTGGAAAAAATGCATCAAAATGGAAATTTTACTTTTAGTTTACTTTACTTTTAATCCTGTGCATGTCCACCTAGTGGTGAGATGCCAGCATTTTATGGGTAAAATAATCCAAATGCATTTCATGAGATGTAGTTTATGGTCAATGCTGGCTTTAAAGCAGCATACGCTTAGTCTAAGACATTAAGACATCTTTGGAGCTTTTGTGGGCAATATAAAATGCCACATTTGGCCTGCAGGCCTTGAGTTTAACACGTGACTTAGGTAATTATTTTAGGAAGGTATTGGAATATACGTAAAAACTGTCCTGGGAAACAAGGTACTTCAGACCTGTCTTTTCTAGAAACTCTAGAGTGCATGAAAAAAAGGTACAGAGAGGATAAGGAAGGTGAGTGTTTCATGTTAAAGTTGAAGAGTTTACCAAAAGTTGTATCCTGTTGTGGTTCTTAGTTTTAAGCTTGACTTTCCAGATTTGAGCACCCAAATCTCTTTAATCTGTGAAAACTTCTTGTTGTCTTATAGGTGTGGGCGTGCCGCTAATGCTGACTTACGTCTACGGGGTGGTTCCTATGTCGCTTTGTAGAAACGGCTGGTGTCGGGCGCAGACTGAGCCCCCCGAGACGCACAAAATACAGCTGGAAGACCTAGCCAACTGTGAGTACAGAACAGAATCGCTCTGAGCTTTAGATAAAGGACAGCTATCACAACAGTGATGTCATTGTTATACGACTAAAACTTCTCCCCCAGAATCCTGCCTGATCTGATTGAGTTTCAACTTCTCTTATAGATCTTCTATTCTCTCATGTAGTCAGTGATCACTGGACGGGTCAGAGCAACCCGAAGGTCAGTGACACCAGTGTCCAGGAAGTCAGAGTCAGTGTACAGGAAGTGGGCGTCCTCCCGAGTACGAGCGCCATGCCCCCAGAACTAGATAAGTACACGGGAGTGGAAGAAGCTGCCAAATGCCATGGACACACCCATCAGGACAGTCGGTCTGACTGCGAGGTGGTTGTTGTGCCTGACTGCGAGCTTGATGACACACAAGCAACTAGTTCGAGGTGAGTCTTTTCAGATTTTTTGAGGTCTATTATTTAAAGGGATCCCTGATTAGTTGTAACATTAGACTTCATTTGATAAGCATTTATTTTAACTCTAAAATAAAGACTAAAAATACTGTAGGCTGTTTAGTTTTGTAAATTTTTAAACATATATTTTAACACGGACGGAGCCATTTTATTTACAAGCAAAGCATTCTGGGTAAATGATGACGTGGATAGGTCATCGGTGTGAGCGAGCTATATCCACCCTGAAGGTTAATCTTGGACAATATCTGATGATCGACTCAAATGAAACCAGAGAGCGTTGACAGAGAGGAGAAGGTAGAAATGACTCAGCCTGTAACTGAAAATATAGATGGAGGACAACAGAGCTGCTTCATGGAAGAAGAACCTCAGCTTATCCTGTTAGCTTTTGCACTAGTGCTGACACTATATTGCCTTATATGTATTAGCTCGACGCTAACACGACAAACAAGCTAAACTGAGGTCCTCCAACCATATTTTCAGTTGCAGGCTGAGTCATTTTTGCGTTCCCCTCTCTGTCATGTGGATGGAGGACCTCAGTGACAAGAGGAGAATGTGTAGCGCTGAGCTAATACATTTAAATGGTGATAGCATCGGGGCTAATGCTAAAACTAACAGGCAAAGCTGAGTTTCTTCTTCCATGAAGCAGCTCTGTTGTCCTCCATCTATATTTTCAGTTACAGGCTGAGTCATTTCTACCTTCTCCTCTCTGTCAACGCTCTCTGGTTTCATTTAAAAGAGTCGATCATCAGATATTGTCCAAGATTAACCTTCAGGGTGGATATAGCTTACTAGCAGCCTTCCACCGAGCACCTATCCGCATCATCATTTACCCAGAATGCTTTGTGTGTAAATAAAATGGCCCTGTCCGTGTAATATATTTTTAACTTTTAGTTTAAAAATTATAAAAACTAAACAACCTACAGTATTTTTAGTCTTTATTTTACAGTTAAAATATATGTTCATTAAATAAAGTCTAATGTTATAACTAATCATGGATCCCTTTAACAAATTGACATGCCATTTGTTGTTGGAGCTGCCCGTGACCTTTCTGGGTAGAGTTTTATGATCTCATCTTGAAGTTGTGGGTTTTTCTCCAGTACTCTGATATCCTTCCACAGACCAAAAACATGACTGTTAGGCTAATTGGTAACTCTAAATTGTCCTTAGGTGTAAGTGAAAGTGGATGGTTGTTTGTCTCTATGTGTGACCCTGTGATGGACTTGTGACCTGTCCAGGGTGTACTCTGCCCCTTGCACTGTGACTGCTGGATATGGACACTAGTGACCCTGAAAGGAAGAAGCGAGTATAGATGATGGATGGATTGTTGTTGGTGCTTGTTCTTTTGCACTCTGATTCTAATACTTCTTGTGTATTTCAGGTCATACAATGAACTGGGAACCAGTTGCTTGATGGTTACGCTGCACCTCACTGTAACTGCAAATCAGTATCATTGCTTTTTTTATCCATTCTTCCTCCAGAGAAAGAACCAACATCGAAGTTTGTGTGGAAATTGAAACTCACCCAAGAGGCGCCCGTCAGTCCAGTTTAAGTAGCGTCCTGTCCAGCCGAAGCCTGTCAGCCGAGTCTCTGGGACACCCCCAGGACTGCCCATGTGCCTCAGAGCTGGAAGAAAGGCGAGGACGGGGAGAGGAGACGTTCGGAAGAGAGAAACCAGGAGGAAGCGAAGGAATTGTTTTTTCGGCTTTTGAAACTGTCGATGTATGAGGAACCATCGGAGCAGGTTTTGTACTCGACTTAGTCAGGTTTTATGGAAACACTCATTTCTGAGATGGACCTTAGAGTTCTCAGCCAAGGTCACCGCTTTCTGCTTCAGTGACGGTACCTTCCACAAGATGCCTTCGCCCTCCAATCTCTAAGGACTTTGTGGGATCTAGGAGAGCCAGAGAGAGAGAGAGAGAAAAGATGAATGTGAACGGATGAGCATGAGACTATAATATAAAAACCGTAAAGCAGACTGGAAAGAATAATAGGTAGCTAGTTCCGACTGTTTTTTTCTATGTTAGCCTTCCTGAAACAAACTACCTTATGCTCCTTCTGTTTTTAAATCTTTTCTTTTTCATCTAACTGTTCTCTTTTATTCACTTTTACCTGCAGTGGACTTCCTCAAACACAAACATGATTTGTTTTATTGGGGAATACGAATCCAAAAATGTTCTTGGCGACGGGTTAACGTAGAATGTTTTAAAAGATGCAGGAAGAAAAGAGAATATGGCCACAGTTCCCAGGTGAATTGGAGAGTTTTAAACATGCATGTACGCCTATAGCCACTGTTTTTATTATTATTATTATTATTGGAATAATACATGTTCTCTGACAATGTTCACTAAGTTGAATAAAGGGGCTTAGAAACACAAGGGATTATACATTTAACCACAGATCCACAGTCTTCCATAAAAGCCATTTAGGCACAGTGACCTTTTTTTTCATTGCTGTCGTCGTGCAGCTTTCAGCTTTCAAGAAGACGGTTTTTTTCCACTGAAGAAAAAGGATGATGCCTTTTTTCTAACGGAGGACTACTCTGCAGCAGCAACGCCTCAGTACCACCACTGCACTGCATATTCCAACACACTAACAGGTCCACGTGCACAGGAATCCACGCCGCTGCAGTACAGTTTGAGCGTTACAATAGAAACTCATCCCGAGCATCAGAATCACAACAGCAGCATGCCATAGCAGGCTAAACATATCCCTTCAAGATGATTCGCGAGGGACTATACGACTACATGCACTGCTTCCTGTGTGGGAAATAATTGCAACGGGAATCTTAAGACTTGACGTGGAAACATATGTGCTGGGGTTTTTGAAGAGAAAATGAATAAAGATTTCACCCTGAAGGAGAGATCCAAACTGTGTGTGTGTTCTTTCCTAGGAAATCATTTTTATTTGGAGTTAAAGTTCTCCATGTGGATAATGTTGCTCTACATCTGTTCATACATTTGGCTGCAGTTCAGTTATGCCTTGTTTCAACTTAATTTAAAACAGACATCTTGTGAAAAGTTATCACTCTATTGTGCTTTAGCTGATGGTTGGGCTACCACCCATATGCAACAGAGGTTAATAACATAATTTCATTGTTTTTTAAATTTATTTACTTTTTAAATTAAAATTTAGTTCTTTAATAATATTTCAGCAGTAAGGTTAAACTAAAAAAATACATAGTGCTATGTTTATGACTGCAACATTTTTGGCCTAATATGGAATTAAATTTACTCAATTTGGGGCTGTTATATATTGTAGTTCATTCTGTTCAAATGATTGGTAATAGGTAAAATGTTTGAACAGCAGGGCAGTTAAGCTGTATTTTATTCTGGGCCTCACACCTTGCTTTCGCATTATCATGCAAGATGTTCCCAGAAAAAAAACAACAACAGTAGTATTAGTTTTTCTAAAATCAGATTATACTGTACGTTGTTTGGCTTTAATTGTCCCCTCTACAAATATGAATGGATGACCCCGTATTACCACAGATGCACAAGTTTAAGCCGATAACAACTCACAATGATCAACTAGGATGGTAAAATGTCTAAAACTTTTGTCAGAAATTTCAGATCAGTCAGCTCATAATAACAGAAACACAAACCATGCATTTAAACAGCATATTTAAGCCTTTCAGGTAATACCTCTAAAGGTCTAAACACAATAGATTGACAAATTGTTCAGTTGTTTGCGCACATACTTTACATTCGTTTGATAATTCAAGAAAATTGAATGACTGAGAAAGCATAACAAAAGATTATGGCATAAATCAATGAATGTATCACATTTCTACTACTACTACTTATAATAATAATGATGATGATGATTTTGATTGTTGCATTTTTTACAGTGAATGCATTCAAAGTGCTTTACAAAAAGAAAAAATGGAAATAAACTGCAATCTGACTAAAATATTACGTACATTTATATTTAAATTGTGTGCTTGAATATTTGACAGAATTTCTAAGTACTGTGTTGGTTTTAGTTGTATTGAACAGCAATGCAAAAGTTTTAGTCTATTTGCAAAGAAAACAAGTCTTCCTTTTTAAAGCTAAATGTTTTAAAGATGAAGGAAATGGTCATTGAGTTTAGACAAGACTCTTTATTCGCCATTTCTGTGGTTATGAAGTTGTTGAGGTCATGCACCGCTATAAATATCTTGGAACTGGATGATAAACCAACTATTGATACTCTCACTTTGTAAGAACACCCATCAGAGAATGTATCGTTATCGTAAGCTCTGGGGTTTTTTTTCATGTTGATTCTGCTTTTATGAGAATGTTTATTCATGTTTTATTGGGTCTCCTTCAACTTTGACTTTTATCTATTTGTTTGGAGTTTTAACATGTAAGAACAGGAGTAAACTCTTGGGGATTGTCAGGATGTGCAACAGAATTGCTGGTATAGATTTATACAAGCTGAGGTCAGTGAAAGTAGCAGTCGGAATTTTTAATGAACACTTGTGATCTTTTTTAAATTCTATTTTATTTATTTTTTGTGTGTAGTATGAACTTTTTTTTGTTTCTTCATGTCTATGTACTGCAACAAATTTCTCCTTGGGAAAATAAAAAAAAAATCCTGAACTTCGAAATGTTGTTGTGGAAGCCCATTTACGCCACCCTGATAAAAAAATAAATAAAACTTGTATCTCATAATTATGACTTAGCTATCTCATTATTATGAGATAGTATCTCATAATTATGACTTAGCTATCTCATAATTATGAGATAATATCTCATAATAATGAAATAGCTAAGTCATAATTATGAGATAGCTAAGTCATAATTATGAGATAGTATCTCATAATAATGACATAGCTAAGTCATAATTATGAGATACAAGTTTTATTTTTTTATCAGGGTGGCTGAAATGGGCTTCCATAAATCTTCAATGTTGCAATAACAATATCTGAACTCTAGGGGGAGCCATAGTACAATAAGCAGGTTTGTTTGATTAGATTGTTTTGTAGTAAAAAAAAAACAGTATAAACTTTATTTTTGTGAGAATAAAAGCTATTTATATATTTCTATACTTAAGTCTAGAGACAAACAAAAAAAATAAAATGTGAGGGCACAAACGATGAACAAAAACAACTATATGGCCAACCACAAGGCAGATATAATCCAGCATAAAAATATAAAAGACTGGTTTATAGTATAAATGAGTTTGTTGCATTAACACAGAAAGAAGTGAGGACATTTCGCAGGAAACTCTTCAGGCCCTGAAGGTGAAGGACACGCCCTCAACTTTGGGAAGGGTGCCTGGGCTCCGTGTGTCCGCCTTCAGCTGCTCCTGTCTCCGGGAGCAGACGGCTCTCTCAGCGGAAACTTGTCTCCTCTGCCCGTCTTTGTCTGTCCGACGAGCCCCTCGTCGAGTGGAGCGAAGCTCTCTCTCTCTGTTTTTCTCTGCCCGTGGAGCGGAGAGGGACCGAGGGAAACCCACCTGCCGGTGAGAGTGGACACACCTCGGGATGGATGCTCTGAAATCTGCCGGCAGAGCCATCATCAAGAGCCCCGGCGTCCCGCGGCACACCTGGGGAACCACGAAGCACGAAAGTGAGTCACACTGGACGATAGGTTTGGAAATGGAGTTACACTCTTATCTGAAAGAGGAGAAATAGATATTGACTGTTTTACAATAAAGATGTAAACATCTGCTGAAATGTAAACATCTGCTGAGTCAGCTCATTCTAGGGTTTGACTTCTGCTTTTTGTTTGTTTACAAATATTTTCCACCTAGAAACTCACAGCTATTATCTCAATTTAACCAAAAACTTTGTCTTTTAAAAATCAGCTTGCTCTGTTTTTGTCCTATAATGTTACTTGTAACCTTTTTTTTTAGTTTTAGATCAACTTTTGTTGCTTTTAATTGGTGTTTAATTGCCATTTTCAATTTTTTGTTTCACTTTTTTATTCTTGTACGTTGTGTTTGTTATCAAATTTTATTTAACCTTTTTGGTGCTTTGTCATAGCTAACATATTTGCTCTAATTTCCAATTTTAGTTAAACTTTTGGTACTTTTAGCTAGTGTTTAATTGTCATTTTCTAATTTTTGCTAACCTGGGGATTTTAGCTAGTGTTTAATTGCTATTTTTAGGTTTTAGATAACATTCTTGTGCTTTTAGCTAGTGTTTAAGCTATTATCAAATTTTAACCAACCCTTGGTGCTTTGTTTTAGTTAGTGTATAATTGTAATTTTAAAATTTTACCTAACCTTTTGGTGATTTTAGCTGTGTTTGATTGCTATTTTTAAGTTAGGTAGCTCTCTGCTATGAAGCTAGTTTTAATTTTCCTTTAGCTATTAGCTACATTTTGGTTACTTTAAGCTAATTATGCTTTACATTTATCTAGTTTTTATTGTTTTTTTTTTTAGCAATTTCTTTTGCTAGATTTAGCCCTTTGCTGAGCATTTGTTTGGATACTTTAATTCCTTTTTTGATGCTTTTATCTAGCCCTATATTGTATTTTTTTTTTGCTAACTTGTTTCTATTTTTAACTTCTAGCTATCCATTGCTTACTTTATTTTGGGATGACATGTTCAGGTATAGCGACCAAGGCTAATCAAAGTTATAATTGTGACCCTTACCTGCAAAGATCCTGATGTTACAACCTGCAGCTTTTAAAGTGACTAAACCACTTTTTGAAAGTCTGTTAGAATCAAATAGTATATATACCCCTGCATTTTGTAATTTGAAACAGCTAAATAAAAAAAATACATAGGGCAGGAAGTTTTCTTACTTTGCTTATAAAGTTATCTAGTTGAACAAAAGCGTCTGTTTGGTCAAGCAGGAAAACATCAACTTATTGAATATTGGCAAAAACAAAACATTATAAATCTTAAGTTAATGTTTGGTACTTTTGAAGTGTTTTTAGACAAAAGACAAAATAAAAAGAATAATTTTGACATTAACCCTACAGTGTGGAGTACAGCAGGGTCTGACAGGAGGAAACAAAACTCACACCATCAGTGATAGACTGCGTCGCTGCCTGCAGCCCTTCTGTCTCCACCGTGTCAAACGTTGTCTTGGATGCTCTCTCCTTGCAGACACGTAGCCTCTAAATGCTAACATGCTGCTTACGCCTCATCGGAAATTCCTGCTTTGCTCATGCCAGCTTTCGTTAAAGATGACTGGCTCATTTCACAACCACAAAGACAGTCTCAGTTTCTCTGGGCTTTGTAAGAAAGGTGCTAAATAAATCAGTGAATTTCTAAGCATAAATCTGTGGTATATTTATTTTCCCCACAAATAGCATTTTAGGTATTTCTGATCGTTTTGGGTGTGTTTTCAACTCTGGTAAAATAACACTAAAACCATGAAGATTTGATAAATATTGATGAGAAGTTCATCTCTTTTCTTGTGGAACAGCTCCCAAAGAAGAGCCTTAACTTATTATCATCTGTAGCCTCGTATTTTAGCTTAGCTTGGCAAATATGAATGTTTTGTGTGTTTATGAACTCTGTCACATTTAGAGTTTTTTTATGAGAAGCCCAATTTTGTTTATTTGTTCTGCAACAAAAGCAGTGTTGTATAAAGTACCACAAAGTGATACTTGAGTAAAAGTACAAGTAGCTTACCAAAAAATTACTTTGTAAAAGTAAGTTAAAGTCTCTTTTAGGAATATTACTTGAGTAAAAGTCTTAAAGTATCATAAATTTTTTGTACTTAAGTACTAAAAGTAAAATTATTCATTTAAAATGATTAGTTAAATTTTCCGTAATGACATTTCCCGAAACAATGCAGAAATGACTTTATTGTATTAATATAAGTAATTTATGTTAAATTTCGGATGCACTAGTCTAGCTATATATACTGTGTGTGTATGTACACTCACCGGCCACTTTATTAGGTACACCACGCTAGTA